ACAGGATACTGAAATGCCTATTTACATACAATTTAGTTATTTATGAAATCTACAGTATATTTGAAAGAACATGTAAAAGCCATCCAGAACACAAGGGTGCAGGCTCATGGTTTTTTCCTATGATGTCTAAATTCACAAAATACACAAGCCAGGTATTTGACAAAATGTCAGTATACTTGATCATAAAAATCTAAAAGAGTCCTTAAGTTTCATACTTTATTCAAATTTACTGTCATAGAGTCAATTCTGATTGATAGTGACCATGTAAGGTAGTGTAGAACTGCCCATGTGGGTTTCCGAGACTTTAAATATTTGTGGAAGTACAAGCCTCATCATTTTATACTGGAGCAGCTGTTGGGCTTGAACGGCTGACCTTCTGGTTAGTAAACTGACACATAAGACATTCTGCCACTAGGCCTCCTTATTAAATGAAAACTTACTGCCATCAAACCAGTTAATAGCCCAGGGCTTATGTGAGTGTGTTTGTGTGTGGGTTGATCATTATCCTTCTTAACTTTTAAGTGTGATTGGTTTTATAAAATTGACTTACAGATCCCACAAGGTCTTCTCCGCTACTCTGAAAATCCAATGAATTGCTGCACATGGTCTGGTTATCCATACAGGTCATTATATAACGAGCAAACTATTGGCTAATCTGGTTAATGAGGAAAGACATAGATAGTCACATAACAAACATGAGCTTGGTGGGCAATAACCTTTACTTCCAAATCCAAAGGAATTATTTTTTTCTTTTTCAAACAGCCCAGGCTGAGGAAACAACTCTCAAAAGCTGCACATTTTCATGTCTGCAAGGAAACTGATTCACACCAGCTGAAACTCCCCAGTGATCCAAATTACCAGCTTTGTGGTCATATTTGGACTTGTTATCCACACATCAGAAGACAGTGACAACTGGTATCTGACAAAATAGCACTCAACACAGCATCTTAATTAGCTGCAAGCACTGTGAGCCCCACATCTGCAGAGAATCACAAGGCCTTCCTGGCTCACACATGCAAGAGGAAAAGGGCATGGGAATTCACTTGAAAAAGCTGCTTGATGTAAGTCCCTTGAGAAGGGATGCCTTTTGCTGGAGCACAGATGTTATTAAAATTATTACAAAACATGTCAAATACTTGATAGAAAAGCCACAACCATTTTTGACTAGTTTGTTCTTGATATTTAACTATTAATGAATGGTTTATGCAAACTCCTAGAGCCTGTCACAGATAGATGCATAAAGACTTTAATCTAGAGCTCTCTGGAACCAAAGTTAATATTTATACATAATATGTTCCTCCTAATAAGTAGTGGGTATGTGTTGGGCTGTGATACTCATTGTCTGCAGTTTAAAACAACCAGCAGCCCCACGAGAGAAAGACTGGGCTTTCTACTTCTGTGAACAGTTAATAGTCTCAGAAACCCACAGTGGGGCTCTATGAATCGGCATCGATTTGATGGCAGTGAGGTAATCGGTAGGGGCATCTTTGGAAATGGCCTGTTACAACATTAATTCAGGAAAGACAGCCACTAGTACCAAGGAGCCTAGATGGTGCAGCAGTTATTGGACTACAACCTTCACGGTCATCAGCAGTTCGAAACCAGCAGCTGCTCTGCGGGACCAAGACCAGGCTTTCTGCTTCCAGAAAGAGCCACAGTCGTGGAAACTCACAAAGGGCAGTGCTAGCCTGTCCTATAGGTTCGCTCCGAGTCAGTGTTGACTCCATGGCAGGGAGTTGTGAGTTTGAATGTCAAGAAGGTGCCTGGTGCAGCCAGGATGGAGGTGAGGAGAGAGGGGAAGCAGCGGCCTAGTCCAACAGCTTCTGGGGAGAGGCAGAATGAGACAGTGATGGTTTGGAGAAACGTCAGCACAGAGAGCTACCAAATGCAGTGAGGGAAGGCCGGGGACTAAATGGAATTCAGAGAGAAGCAGGGACCTCCTTTTGGTCCAAGAGACATGTGTGATGAGACTCCCAGAATGGAAGCAGAAAACAGGAGACTCAAACTAAATACCCAGCACTCTGCGCTCTTTGTCTTTAGAAAACAACTGCCCTCCGGTATCCGAGCGTCTAAGTAGTGCTTTATTCACCTCTGCACATCCAGATTGGCACTACTAAAAAGGAGGTGAGCCAGATGTGGAAATGGAGTTTCTCTGTTCACCGTGACCCACAGAAAACAGAGCATCACTCACACAGACTTCAGAGAATCCGTCTCACTACCAGAAAGTCTAAGGGATTTGGGATTTAAAGTTGTGATAAAAGCTATGTGCTTCGATAATAAACTGATTCATGATACAATTTGCCTTTCTTCTCTCCCATCACTAACTCAGTGATGGGTCTTCAACCCCAAATCTATTTCAAAGTGCAAAAGAATGTTCAGATTAGTTCTTTAAGATCATCTATATCATTCCTATAAACATTCATGTTGCATACTTTCAATATCAACGACTAAATTTCCAAAATGATTACATGCTATTATTTTGTTGTTAGTGATATTGAGTCAATTGTGATGCATGATAGCCCATGTGTGTCAGAGAAAAACTGCTCCGAATGATTTTCAATGTCCATCTTCTGTGATGCTGCTCAACCACCAAACTTTCAACGAGTAGTTAAATACCCAACCGTTTGCACCACCCAGGGACTAGATTCCAGGGAACTTCAAAGAGTTCACCAAAAGGTGTAATGAAAAAC